CTCTGAAGTAATACCTCAACAGCATACACTATCGTGTAACTTGGTGTTTTCAGGAGACTTGGTGTTTTGCATTTCTTGGCAACAATTGTTGTACAGTTAGGTGCCTATTGATGGCCGGGGTGGACTGTTCAGTCAGTTGGGCTGTGTTTGGGTTGGGGTTGGTCTGTACAGATGGCAAACAGGTTTCGATACCTGTGAAGCCTTTCACTGTGTGGACACGTAAAAAAAACACTTCCCTAAGCTTTTTTTGTCCTTCAGCCTGGAACACCTTAAAGAGGCTATAGCCTTAAGACACCGAATGTCTATTATTGCTTGTCATAGTCCTAGTTTGCTGCTCCTGCTCCTGCTGTTGCTCCCTGCTGCTGCTGCTGACGTTTATCTGCCACTAGCTTCTATTTGTACTGTCGCTGTACTTTTCCTGCTACTTTACTGCTGCCGTTCCTGGCTACTTTTGCTTGACCCAGAAGCCCAGTGCCAGATGAGTCTGATTCCGTCGGGTGCAAAGCTTGTAGGGTAGGGTCCATTGGACCGGAGTCTTCAGCCTTTCGGGATCAAAGGCAGCTACAGGAGGTGGCATCATGTCCAGTCGTAAGTGCGCCCGCAGTGAATGCAAGCGACTGGCGTTTGATGGGCGCCACTACTGCTGCAAAGAGTGCAAGCATGGCTACGACCATGGCGGTGGCTGCTCCAGACGACAGAGGTTTGGGCCGCGAGATCCGTCCGATTCGGCCGCTGCTGGCCCTTGTGACAGCTTCAAGGAGAATGTACCTTCGTTTGTGTTGCAAGGCTGGCGGAATCGATGGTTGAGTGTAGGGCCCAAAGCCCGCGCGCTCATAGAACTCGTCTCGCTGAATGTAGCTGAGCAGCAGGGCACTGCAACCGATCCTCGAAAGTTTATGCGCCGTCTGGTGCTGCTTTTTCACCCGGATACAGCTGGGGAGTCAGCGTCGAACATGGAATGCATATACTTCCTGAATGCTGCTCTGGAAGAGTTCTGATTTGATACCAGGCCAGAAGTGCCTGTCAGCATTTTGCTTCTGAGCGATGCAAGCATACGTATGAACTTGGCATTGGGCCGGGTGTAAAGTATAATAGTTGCAGTTGCAGTGATGCCTCTTAAACTTGGCGATTCTGTGTAGGGTGTGTTCTGTGCTTTTTGTGTCGTGGGTGTGTGAGTGTGTCTGTTTGGCATGTCGGTGTCTGTGTTAGGAGATGTGACTGTGCGTGTGTCTATCACTGTGTGTCTGTGTGTTGTTTGTGTCTGTGTCTTTGTATTTGTGTTTGGTGTTTGTGCTTGGAAGGATTTTTAGTATGCGTGTGGGTCCGTGTGGTATGCTTGTGTGTGTGTGTGTTTTGGTCGTGCTTGTCAGTGCGGCGTGTCGCCTTGTGTGCAGAGATGCCACGAGTTGCCACGAGCAACGGTGCCTCAACCTTTTTGGCAAGACATTGCTCTGCACTCTACATTCTGTGCACTGTGGGCCACGCATGTCTCCCTGGTGGTTCAAAGAGGCGAAGCTTTGTAACTGTAGTGCCAGGCACCGAATCTGGCTTCGGGTACTTAGAATGAAAAGGCCTGCAGCGAGCATGAAGCGACCTTCGGCTGCCGGTATGACGAAGTTCATGAGACCAGCCGCTGCCAGGACTGGGTGGTGCAGCAACAGTCCAAACAGATTTCAGTGAACGTTGAAAGCTGCAATTCAATTCAATTCATCCTTTTCCCAATTGGTTCTACTGTTGCCACTTTCTGGTGTTCAATAGCCACTCAGTATCAAGCGAATTCTCTTCAGGTGTAGATTCATGAGTTCGCGCAGTAAGAGGTCGTTGCAAGTGGGACCTGCAATGAATGCTTGCCTGTGCTGGTTGACAAGATCAATAATGACTTAGTATTTACTTAATAGCATTAGCCGGACTCCTGGAGCCATTTCGGCCATGATGTATGTTTCAGACGATGAGAATGAGCAGCCTCGGAGTGGGCGGCTTGCTGCTACAAAGCTGCAGAAGTTGCTGAGCCGTGACTGCACATGCCAGCGAGGCATATGCTTCAAGCAGTTCCAAGATTGCCCCAACGTCGTGCAAACCAAGCGGGATGAATTCAGGGCTTTGCAACCGTTGGAGAAGGCGACCTTACTTATTATTATTTCTTCTTGGTCTAGAGGTTTGTGGTGCTTTGAACAACTCGTTTTCAAAACTTAGGCCGTATAAGGCACGATCTCGAACTGGTAAATGATTAGCATTACTGAGTCATTTGTTGTCCTGTTTGTGTTTGTGGGATTTACCAGTTTGTTGATTGCCTAAAACTCAGTGTCTGATTGTGTGCAAGTCGGTTTCTTTTGCAGGCAGCATTTCTTCAGAAGCAGTTCAACTGTGGGGAGGCAGAGTTTTCCGTGGCAGCAGCAGGCGAAGGGGATTCAGACTCCACTTTTGTTGAGTCTGATGGGGACGATTTACTTTTGGCCTCTGATTGTGATGAACCGGGCTCGCCTCTTCTGATGGCATCTGATGAGGAGGGTCGTGGTTGTGAAGAACCAACCTCAAGTAGACGAAGCCACAGGTCCTATAGCGCCCGGAGAAGTCAGGACAGTGCCAAGTTTGTTGGACGAGAAGTTTGTCTTCGGGCCATGAGGAGTCTCTTGGGCATAGGCGAAACGACGTTGCAGAGAATGAGGCAAGGAGAGACTGTGTATACTAACGAGAGTAGGGCTCCGTTGCCGAAGCACCCCTCGTTTGGTTTTACGATCAGGGGTGAGGTCGCTGCCAAGTGGATGGGGGTTGTGATGTATATGTGGTATGTGTACCACAGCTGTGCGGAACACATGCCAGACAATTTCCGTGCTGCAACCAAAGATGGTGGCTTCCATGCTGTTGCTGATGCCAGATCGCAGGGTGATGACGATGCCCATCTGCGTGCTATCAACAGCTTCATGCGGATGCTGACCACGCAAAGCTCGGATATCGATGTGCATACAATTGGCCCTGGAACCTTTTGTGGTGAGCGGCGATGCCTTCCATATGGGAGTCGTTCGGAGATGTTTTGGGAGTACAAAGCGTACTGCAATGCAAATCAAGAGGAACCTGCTTCCTACCAAACGTTCATGCGCGTCGCTCGGTGTGTGGTGGGCCCTGCTCAAAAGCATGGCTTTCTGAAATTTCGCAAGGTGAACGAGCATGCGAAATGCGACGACTGCACCCGGCTCAAGAAAGCTTTGAAAGCCAAGGTGATGGGCGGTGGGAATCGGGAAGTGCAGCAGCGTGCATACATGCGCCACATCTTGTCACAGTGGCTGGATCGGCAGCTGTATTGGCAGTTCCGTAGCCTGTCTCAGACTTTCTTTCGACAGCAAGACCTCCTGGCTGACAGGACCATCAGTTGTGAGTTTGTCACACTCGTGGGCTGTCCTGTGCCAAACAATCGCTGAATTTAGGTAAGGACACTGTCTTGCCCCTTCAGGACCCTGACATTGTCCATCGCGACCTCTGTTATGACGGTCATTGCAGATGGCATGGACCAAGCTAAGTACAAATGTCCTCGCATTCGGGAGCAATCCTCCAAACTGCTTGCTCGTTTGTTCCGACCTACGTTACATGTGGCAGCCACATGGATCCATGGTAGGAGCTTGAACTTCTTCGTCGGTGACGAATGCCTTCGCAAGGATAGCCAGACACAGATCGAGATGCTGAGCCGAACTGTGTCTCAAGTCATCGACTCTGCAAGACAGCTTCCAGCTGGATTTGCACTCCAGCAGGACAATACCTATCGTGAGGGAAAAAATACTTACGTGATGGCATGGCTATGCCTGCTGGTGTGCCTCAGAGTTTTCCGATATACTCTTGCAAACTTTCTCAGAACGGGGCATAGCATCTCGCATTCATTGACATTCTTGTTTCAGGGCTTTTGTTGGTGATTTCGTTTGCTTGGAATGTGTCGATATCCATTGCAGGCTACATTTGATGACTGCTCAGTCGAGGTCATGAGGATATTGATCAGGTCTTCTCACAACAGAGTGCTTTCATTAGTCGGCAAACTTTCGACTCTCCTGAAGATGTTGTCCGTCTCCTGGATTCAACTCACAGGCCTGAGGCATCTGGCGAACGGGAAAGGAAGCGAGCTCGAGCGGTGAAAGTAGATGTCTCTGCTGTGAAGCTTGATACTGTGGCTCTCTGGAAAGATTGGGTTGCAGTACTTGGATTGCAGTTCAAGGGCCTTCGTGGCTTGGTTGTAAAATTAGGTTTCTGAAAGATACTTCTAAGAACTTCTAAGTGAAGGGTTTGGGGCTGTTTAAGGTTTAGGGCAGTTTAGGGTTTAGGAGTTAAGATTGAGGCCTACCCCTTCCTCCGATTTGCTGCTAAGGAAAGGTGGGTCAAGTTCGTTTCTGTCTTCGTCGGGACTTGGATCCTTCCTCTTATGGTGCCTGTCAGACGAAAGAACTTACTGGTTCTCCGGCCAGCCAGGACGATGTACTTGTTCTGGCGAAGCATCGTATGGCAGATACCAGCCCCCATGTGGTTGCAGCGATTGTGTCTGCCCAAAGAGCCGCTGATCTTCGTGCCAGTTTCCAGCAGCCTCAGGGCTCAGCGGAGCGCAGACCGATCACTGAGCAAGTCAAGAAGAACATTGCAGGAGTGCTGCCGAAGTGCGTGCAACAGGGCATTGTGTCTCGTGATGCCGAAGCGTACCTTTCAAACTGGTTGGCTGGTACTTGGGCCAAAGTTCCCCGGCCATCTTTCTATACGTGCCTGGAGGCTCGAAGAGCCCCGGAAGAATTCTATGGCAATGACCTTGTCGGTTGCAGAATTCCGTGGTCGAAGCCACATCGCGCCAAGCATGTAGATTTGCGTGTAGATGACGATGACAACGATTCCAATGCAGGGTCTGATGATGCGGCCGCGAATGTGGCAGTGGATTTGGATGCTGTCGATTAATTAAAAAGAAGCTTGCAGCACCCTGCACGACGAGCAACTTTTCAACGGCTTAAGTTGAAGACGGTTTTCGTTATCAGAAACAAGCAGCGAGGGTCAAGCAAGCTGTGAGATTCCATCATGTTCGTCTTTCGTGAACTCTGAGTATTTTAGCCGTGAAACTGGGCTCTGCAGGAAGGACCCGGATGACCGCGAGGATGCGCTCCTGGCCTCCGACGAAGAGTCGCTTGGCCATTGCACTGGGAGACGACGGTTGCACGTGCTTCTTGTGTGGGCATGGCAGTTGACACTTGACATTGAGTGTGACCGTCTTCTGCAAGTTCGATGCACAGGCCAGATGTGGGCACTCCGGAGGAAGGCCCGACGTCGCCTTCTGTTTTCGAGGCTTCCGATGTGGAGGATGGGAGCAAGGGCGACCAGGATCACCACGACTTGAAGTCTTCCTCCCGAGACGCTTCTTCTGGAGTTTCGTGGCGTAAGATTCTGCTCTTGTCCTATAAGTAGACGACTTCTGTTGTGAATGCTTCTGGCGCTCAGGTTGCTGTGTGGGGAATCGACGCTCTATGCCGGTGCCGCAACGTGGCTTTGCCAGTGGCCGAGACACTGAAGCGTGCCTCTGCCTGCTCGGCATCTGGGGTTGTGAGGATTGGCTCCATCTGTTCAGGATGGGGCGTTGGGGAGGTTGTTGTTCAGGCCTTGAACGAGGCTTTGCAGCACCTTGTGCCCCCAGGGGATGGTCCACTGCCTCAGGCAGGGTTTGATTTTAACGGTAACTCATCTATTGTCCTTAGCGGTTTGATGCAGTATGACTCTTGAAGTAGACATTCAGACAAGCATAAACGAATCCCTGCAGATGCGGGTGGAGTGGATGTGTGAAAGCGAGCGCTGGAAAGCCAAGCAGCTGCGCAAGTCCTTTCCCGAAGTCCCCCACATCTTCAGTGACATGAAAGATTTGGCAAGTGGCCGAGCCTATGACTACGTCACTGGAGCAGCAACCTCTGTTCCGAAGGATCGGGGTCACAGTTGTCTAAAGGATTTTTAATTTTGCTGCAAAGGAAAACAGACATGACATGACAGCAACATTATTCTGTAACGCTGTGACTCTGGCACAATGCGCAGGTCCACGCGATCCTCGTTGGCTACCCATGCACAAGCATATCGGGACTGAACCAGAGCCCAGCATCTTTCCGAGATGGCACGTCGAGGACGGGGCTGGGCTTTAAAAGCTTGGTCGCCTACTTGGACAGAAACCTCGACAGCGTCGAGTTTGTGGTTGCGGAGAATGTCGCGGCGTTGTCGACTGTTCGCAAGAAATTCAATGACGAGTGCCCCGTCCAGATGCAGACGGATGCCTTGCGCAAGAGAGGCTTTGTGGGGTGGAGCAAGATCCTGGATGCCCGGCTCTTTGGCCTTGCTCAGTCGCGGCAGCGGACATGGGCTGTCTATATTCGGCAAACCTCCATCAGGACATAAACTAATACTAAGAATTTTTCATGGGTTCAAAATCAGATGTAAGCTCACTAATATTGATTGAAAATGACTCATTGGGCAGGAGCCATGTGTCACCGTTGGACACAGCCTTGAAGCTCCAGTCCCCCATCCTCCCAGGGAGCCTTGCAAAGTTCCTGCGCAAAGACCTTCCGCGCCTCACCAAGTCCGAGGACACTTCGGATTCGGAGCCCAAGGCTGCAAAAGCCCCGAAGTGGAAGAGCGAGTTGGCTCGGTTCCCTACTGCTGTCAAGGCACGATCCTCAAAGAATGTTGGGACAATACTCGCCAGTTTTCCGAGGTGTGCTAATTTTAGCTGTAATCTCTCTCCCTCCTCTCTTCCCCACTTCATTGCTTCGGTTCATTGATTGACATTGACATTGGCTGCTTACCTACACTTACTTCTTTGCACACAGATCATTGTTGCTTTTTCTGGCATGTTCGAGTTTTTTGCTAGTCAGCCTCAGACTCAAAGTCTTGCATTCATATCGTCAATCTTATGCCGGTCAGGCTCGTGTTGCGGCCAATGTGGAGAAGCTGTGCAAGCATGGCCTTCCGGTGACAGAACGGGAGCTGACAATGCTTGCCTACGGTGTGGACCAGCTGGTCCAGATGGGCAGGGATCCCGACGAAGAGTTGTTGATTGTCCAGGTGGACACTTGTTTCGGATTCAGATTCACGATCTTAGTGTATTCCCAGCCTTAATGGACTATGAGTTGTGAGTGCCCTTTGTCGTTGAAGCATACCAAGGATCAAGGCTTCAATCGCTCAGTGGTTCATCGCAAAGATCCGAGCCTTGCACCGTGTTTGTTGCCAAAAGGCAAGTATGTAGTGACGGGCCGTTGGTATGTGCTGCGCGGCGAGGACCCCGTGGTTGCAAGCGTAAATCCCTTCAAGACCAGTCAGTCTGCCCACATGTGTTTGGTTACAGGCATGTCACTAGGCTTAGGGTGTCCTCTGCTTTGCGGCAGGAGAAGATGGCCCTTCAGGGGGTGGCCGGTTGTGAACAGGCAGCCTTCAAAATGAACGAGCTTTCGGATTGCCGCAAAAGCAACCTCGCTGGCAATGCGCACAGGACTTAGTGAAATCCACTCGCAATCCACCCCGTTTCACGTCCAGCCATGCCGCACGAGGTCACAGCACATGTGCGACGTTGAATTCTGCAGTGATTCCTCAGATTTACACCAAACCCCAGGGCCCAAACCCCCCACTTCAGCTAAACTCTCCATAAACCGTTCACAGCCCAGGTTCAGTGCCCCGGTTTGCTTCGCCGTCCTTTTCGGTGCCATTGCTGCATGGCAGCCACAGAGTCTCGCTTGATGTCCGGAGGGTCAGCTTGGAGCGGTTCAAAGATGGACTTTGGAGTGGAGTTTAGGTAGTAGGCCAAAGCTGGTAGATCTCTTGAACGTTAGGTCTTAGGCCAGCTGTTGCATTGAACTCCTTAGTCTAGCCTGCGCTTGTGAGCTCGGGCGAGTAAGATGACGGCGTCGAAGAGCTTCGGAAGCTTCTCATGCAACAATTGTTTGCTGTGTTCTGTACACAGTGAAGGGTGTCTGCAAGACATGTACAGATCTGTTGGCAGTTGGAGTGCTGCAGCAGGGCCGGGAAAGAATTTGTTGCCTGCCCGTATCCTTCCAGTCTCAGATCTAGAGTGCCATTCGATTGCAACAGTCTTGCAAGCATGTTACTTTTCGATCAGTCATGACAGTGACCTTGAGGGTTTTGTCTCGAACTGGCTAGTAGGAGGCGATCCTGCTTGGCGTTTGCCGATTGCAAACATGCCACCCAAGAAGAAATTGAAGCTTTCGTCGCCCTCTGGGAAGACGCAGGCCCTTGCATCCGGTGAGGACACCATCATGGTAGCTTCGAACATCAAGGATGTTCACGAGTTTCAGTTGATGCTGGAGAAATGGATAGACACAGTGCACAACCTGAGGCATCATACGGGCCCATGCACTGCGGCCCCTCCCGTGAAACCCTCGGAGGTGCTTCCAGGTCAGTACGACTGGCCCGTGTGTCAGGGCGGCACCTTGAAGGACATCGCGCAGAGAGCCTGGGGTGATCGCGACCGGCTCTTGACGTGCAGTGCGAAGATGCTTCATGCTGCTGGCCTCCTTCCATCGGAGGATGTGACGCAAATGCTTACGGAGTTTTGTCAGTTGCCGGAGACATGTCCAGCAAAGCAGTGCACACGGAAATCATACTATTTTGCATTCCATGATGTTATATACTACTATGATGATTATTGGCCTTGTCTGTTCTGTCGCCTGCCAGGAATGGCCACCGGCTCCCGGTGCCATCTTCCAGACTTCCGTCCTCTGCTGGTGCTTCTCAGACTGCAGCTTCTGGCGGGGAGCCGCCATTGGCATGGCGGAAGTTGTGGGGACAGCGAAGAGCATGGCCTTGACAAGATTCCGTGAGGCTGTCCGTGTTGGTTCTCCAGTTTACAAAAATAGCATTCAGTCGGGTTTTCCACTTTTGGCTTCAGTCTGGTGTGGGTGATTCTTTTTGAGCGTGCTTCTACGGCACAGCAGCAGCAGCAGCAGCACAGGCAGATGGTGAGCAAAGCGTGCTCAGGCGTGATATCATACATCCACCCCCAAGGTTCTTATGCTTCAAGAGATTTGTTGGAAATTTAAGCAAGGGCTAAGTTCTTGTCCATCAAGATGGCATTTTTAGGGCGTTTCCCGGCTGGTTGTAAAAAAAACGGTCCCCGTTATATAGGGATCTGCCAGATCCTTACTAAACGGGGACCGTTTTTTTTGGGACTACGTGCGGGGTTCGGGGTTTGTGCACCAATGCATGCCTGCATGGGTACATGCGCTTAGTTTCGAAAGTTGGTTAGCGCTTGGCCGGTTGGTTGACTTGAAATATGTAAGTTCGCGGACTTTGCCTAGTTGGCTATTTGGTTTGAATCGTGTTCATGGGTTACTTGCTTGGTGAATTGGTTTTGGCGGTTGGCGTTCCTTGATTTCTTGCTGGGTATGGGTTGGTTGCTCTGTAGTTACAGTTCGTCTTAGTAACCTCGTTAAGCAGCGAGCTAGTTACTAAGTAGCGAGTTAAACATTTGCTAGGATAGTTACACTTGGTACACTTGGTTACTAGCTATTACTTAGTACTACTTAGTTAGTTAAATAGATAGTAGCTAGCTACTTAGCTAGTCAGCTGGGCAGTTAGTTAGTAGGTAGTCAGTATTATTTAGTTGGCCTGTTGGCTAGTTAGATAGCAGTTTTGTGAAGGTTGTGTTGATTAGTAGGTGGTGCGTCTTAGTAAGAAAATATGCAAGGTAGGTAGTTAGTATTAGTCAATAAATTCGTAGTCAGTCAGTTAGTTAGTTACTAAGTTTAAGTCACTTAGTTACTTAGTCAGTTTTTTAGTTAGTTCCTTAGTAAGTAGTTGATACTTAGATCGCTAGGGAGTTAGTTAGTAATTAGTTAGTTCGTTACGGACCTAATTAGATAGGTAGTTATTAGTCTTAGTTAGTTTGCTCCTTGGTTTTCTATTATGTATTGACATTGTTTACCATATTGCAACTTGAGACTGTAGTTTCAACTTACCTGCTCAGTCAGTTACCTTTACTTTTAGCGCCGGCAATCCTGCTAAATATTTTATTTTCTAGTCTGCCATGCTACACAATGGCAATTAATAGTTTCTTCTCTCCTTGTGGAATACCCGCAACAAGGATGCCAACATTTTGTCTTATGCTGTCTATCCTAACACTGACAGTCGACTCCAAATCTGATGTGTGCTGACCTCACTGGACCCTGTTTCTCGGCTCCTTTCCGACAGAAACGGGTTTTGCAGTTTTTGGGATTTGACGATTTTGCAGGGGAAAATGCTCCAATGTTCGGAGACTGATTTTCTCAATGACAGTCCCTTGCTGACTTCCCCGGCCGGGACGCGGACGTGGTATTTTCGGGGGTATAAAATGCAAAAAAATTGGGGTGCGGCATGGACATTAGGAGTACATTTGCTGGGTTGGACAATCAACTCCTCTCCCTGGGGCTGGGTGCCCTCCAACATCTTTTGGGAGACGACCTCACTGAGGTCCTCTCCTTGGGGAGGGTTTGGAATGTTGTCACACCATCAAAATCATGGTTTTGATATCTCCATTAAAATCCAAAACAAATGGCCATGTGACCTGGACCCAACTTTTGGGAGAGGACCTCAGTGAGGTCCTCTCCCAAAACAGTGTTGGGAGACACCCAGCCCCAGGGAGAGGAGTTCATGTGCCACACAATTTTGGGCGACCCCCTCAGCGAGGAACTCTCCCTGAGAAAAGCTTCCGCTGATCCTGGTTCGCCCAGGATCGACGGAAGGTTTTTTCACGGAGAGTTGCTTTCTGAGGTAGTCGGCCGGAAAGCAGAATGGGCGCGCACGCATCATTTCTAAAATCCAATGCACACCCTCCCCGTTTTCACGGCTCCGAATCCCGTCCCTCCCCTCCCCTCTCCTCCCCTGCCCTTTCCCGCCCTTTCGCACTCCCTCGAAAAGAATTATTATTTTTTATTTAAATCAAAGCACACCCTCCCGGCTCTCGCGGCTCCGAATCCCCTCCCTCCCCTCCCCTCTCCTCCCGTCCTGCGCCCTCGAAAAGTAAAAGACAAATAGCAGGCACTTGCTTGCTTTTTCCTTTTACCCAAAGCACATGCTCACTGCATTTTTATCCGACTTGCAGCAGCCCAATGCCAAACAGCTTTAAATAAATGATATTTTTCTTATTATTATGTTTAGGGCGTAGGGTTTAGGGTTGAGGGGTTTAAGGTTTATAATAATTTCAAATCTATAGCAGCCAAGAGCCCCCCGCCCACAAAGAGAATGTTTGTCGTTCTCCAGTCCAGCATTTCAGGCCCCAAAGCCCCCCATCGGGACCTTCATACACTTCAGATTCACAAACTTAATATTGATTCAATTTAATTCAACTTTAGACTTCTGGCCAGGAACGGAGTCTCACAGGCCAAAAGGCAAGGGAAAGGAAGCACCCAGGGGGGCCAATCATGCTGAGGTGAAAGCAGCATGATGAGCGTCTGGCGGGTTGGGTCGGGAGCCAATGGCTAATCATCATACGACTAGCGGGGTGGTGGGTGTGGGCGCTTGGAAGGCCTCTGGGGTTTCTTCAGTTATGGGTATTCGTGTTATTATTGCCGGAAGCTTACAGATGCCAAGTACTAACCCCGAAATATTAATTTTTCATGATTCACCCCCCAAAAGCAAACGGGCGACCCCCTCAATGAAAAAATCATAAAATTAACCCCCCATTCTCGAGCCGAGAATGGGGGGGTTAATAAGCTCCATTAAATGACAGTACTCAGTGGTAAAAGACGAAGATCTTATTATAATAGTATCGATAAATACAATCGACAACAATAGTTCCGCCTGCACGCAGGGTGAGCAGATGGCTGTGCGACTTCCGCCGGATGCAAGCAGCGCCGTGGATGCCAACCAGTGCGCTGTTGGCACCCTCTTCTTTGCGGATGGCAGTCAGAAGATGCTTGCTGCGTTCAGCACGTGGCTTGCTGTGCTATCCTTATGGGAAGACCACAAGGATGCATTGCAAGTGCCTGGAGTTCAGTCCATGTTGGCATCCTTCCTCGCCATCCCGACGTCTGTCAAGGGGTCAGTGGACAACTCCAACACGTTGGAAGCGGCGATCAGCAGGATAGTGAAACAAAACCTGGATGCGAAAGTGTTGCCGGTGTCCAGCTTTCAATGGTCCAGCGTGCTACGCAGCGTTGGCCACGACGTGAGTTTGGACCAAGCACTCCAGCTGTACAATGGGCATCCCGACGTGATGGCCCACGACGACAGCGGCGCCGGATCCATAACTCTAGACAACAGAAAAAAACAGGCAGTGCAAAACTTTTACGAAAAGACCAGTCCAGAGGCCTTGCAGGTCGTCTTGAACTCCACGCACGACATAGCCTTTAGCTTGGGCTGTTACGGTGAAAACTTTGCTCTCTGCAATTTTGCCTTCATGGGCAGCTCAGCAAACCTGTCTTCGTCGGATGCTGCTGACTTGAGCATGCACCCCTTCGACAAGGAGGCTTTCATGTCCATCGCAATTCGGGTTCGGCGCAAGTAAGTTGTTTGACAGGTTTGCTGATTATTATTATTATTATTCAATGCTTCAATGCAGCAGGATCCCAGTAGCGGCTTGGGTCAGTCTCCAGCCAGCATGTGTGCATCATCTCCATCGCATCACAGTGTGTTCGTACATGGTTGGTATGTGTCTAGAAGAGACCTAGGCCAAGGCCAAAGCCTTGAATTGCAATTAATCGGTTTAGGGTTGAGGGTTTAGGGTTTTGGGGTTGAAGGTTTAGGCTTTAGGGTTTATGGTCTTAGTATGAATAAAAAAAAACTTCTATTGAAAGTAAGGATGGAGGACAATCTGGCTCTAAGCCCTTACCCTATAAACCCTAAACCCAAAACCNNCCCAAAACCCTAAACCCTAAACGTAATAATACACCTTATATTATAGTAATAGTAGTAATAATTATCAGAAACGATGCTCATCACAACTGGAATGCAAGGATTGGCGGCTCCCCATGACTGCAGAGGCGCAAGTGCTTTTCTTCATGCGGGTCAAGGCCCAGTTTGATCGAGCGACCACCGGGATCCCTGTGAATCAGAAGAAGAAGTACAGGATGAGTTCAGAAGAGCTCATGAAAGTTCGCAACACCTGTGTTCTCTTTCAGCAGTGCTTCCACTTCCTGCTTACACAGGCAGGCGCCGACGCGGAGACATGGCGCGCAGCTTTCATTCAAGGTGCCGATGAGGATTGGAAGGTGCTCTTGGAAGCCCGCCCTTCCAAGATGGCCATGAGCATGTTGGCCTCCGTGGAAGATCGGGCCCGTCAGCAACTCTTGCACAGAGAGGCCTCTGCCATGCAGGATGTGGAAGAGCAGCGCCAGGAAGTGATCAAAGCAGAGTGGAGCCTGTTTCAAAAGAGCTTGGAGAAGGACCAGCAAACTTTGCAGCAGGCATCCGACGCTCCGCGCAGAGTCAGGAGCTTGCAGCATGCCAGGCTGGTCGAGCATCGCAATCAGCAGGCGGCGGACGGCTTGAAGGCAGCCAAGGGCTACCAGGCAGGGTATTTCACTTGTGACATCGTGAAACCCACCCTTCAAGCCAGATGTTAGGGTTTAGGGTCGAGTAGCAGGTTCGGAAGGTTATACTGGTCCAAACCCTAAACTTTAAACCCTACTGAGATAATCATGAATCAAATTAACTGGTGGAGTAAACGAGAGGGCCCCAAGGCTTCAGGTGTAAGGCCTAATTAGGAGCCGTGTTGATTCTTAGTCAGATCGACCCCTAAACCAGACCAGTAGCACAACCCTGAAAGTAATAGTCTTTTTCAGGAAACGTATCTTCGCATCCCTAATCTCTAAACCATAAACCCTAAAATAATGCTTGTTTTTTGCAGGAAACGTATCTTCGCATCGTGAAGCTGGACAAGATGGAGCTCGCTACCGGGCAGATCTCCAAGATGAAGCTGCATATCGCTGCTTGACCTTGGAACATAAAATTAAGAAATCGTATGAAGTCTGGGAATAGAGTTTGAATTTGCTTATACCGTAGGTTCCACAGATGCAGGTCTCAGGGTTCTTGCGAGAATTCTTGAACTTTAGGCTGAGGTTTCCTCCCATCTCTGTCGCTTGTCACATTTCCGATGCAGCCGAGGCCAAGGAGTGCAGATGCGCCTACGAGGACGTGTGCCTGCTGGGGTTTTGCGACCTCAATGTCCCATGGGCGAGGACACAGGCGGTGTGCAATGCTTTGTGCAAGGGCATCTCTATGATCAACTCGGATGGAAAAGGCATGAACAATGCCACCTTGCTCCTCCTTCCGGATTTGCCGAAGGATAAGAATCCACGGGGATTGTACGATGAAGAGAAGCAAGTGTTTGAGGAGCTGTTCGCACTCAAACAGCACGTTGAGACGAGGTTTGTGGAAAACTTCAGCCGGGAGAAGAAAAGCGAGGCCAAATCCAATGCTCGAAGATTCTCCTCGGGTCGCTTGGTGACTGCTGCTGAGAACTACGAGGACAACGTTTGGTTGCAGGGTGAGCTTGCGCTTCACGGACGTCCTGTGGGCTTGAGGGAGCAAGAGGCTGGTGCTCCCACTTGCCTGTTGCCCAAGCAAGCTGAGCTGTTGCTGCCCGAAAGCGGCAGCGTGAATGCAGACCTTCGACTTTCGGATCGGCCGAGGCCCTCCCCAGAGCAGACAGCTGCTCAGAAAGGTGTGGAGAGGATCAAGACTCTCGTGGACGCTTGCATCCGTGGCGTGTCCCTGCCGGGACCTGTGCTCCTGGTCAACTTGACTGGATACGTTGAGGAAGTGGGGACAGCCGTGGGGTTGCCCAGCGTTTTCTCCAGAGAAGCCTAGGCCTAAACCCAACTAAAATAAGTTAGGCTTAGGTTTCGGAGGTTTGGGATCTGAATGTGTGAGTCTGAGGCGCTTGGGTTGAGGCTTCGAGGACGGATGGGTGGCGAAGGCTTGGAAGGCTTCCACTACCAGAAGCTTTACTATCTGTCGCTGCACAACATCGACAAGGAAGCTGCTTGGCCTTATGCCAACTCACGGATGGCGAGGGAGATCATGGATGCTTGGCTGGACAAGAAGTTGAGCCACGCCGGCCTCTCCTACGATGACTCGAGTGCTGGGTTGTCAGACCAGGTAGCTTGACTTGGAAAAGATCAGTTTCGTTGGGGCCCATGTGATTTTCTAGAGCCATTGAAGTGCAGTCGGCTTTGATTTGATCATGTGACGCACGGAGTCAGGAGCTCAAGGGCATCCCTGGAGCCGGAGTTCTCAAGTCGCCGGACACTCTCAAGTTGGAGGTCACCGTGCGGAACGGGACCGTCATTGAGATCCACCCGGACCAAGTCAAGAAGTGGAGCCAAACCGCTTTTGCCGACGAGTTCAGCAAACTTGCGGAGAGCCACTCCTCGAAGTTCAAGGATGTGCTGAAGCCTGTGTTGGCCTCATCGAGCTCATCGAGCTCTCAGGCCGCTGCAACAGTTGACGAGGGTTCGACTGTGAATCCGGAAACAGAAGACTCGTCGGCTTCGCCTTCCCTGAGCCTCAAGACCTGGGAGACCTACGACTCCCTTCACGGCGAGGACGAGATCAAGCACAGATGTGTGTCCGAGATTGTTGGGGTGGACCTGCTGAAAAGCAAGGCTGGCCATTTTTACCTCATCTCCGAAAAGGGGAAAGTGCTCCCGAAGCATTCGATCATCGGAGGCTTTGGTACCGGAAAGCAGCTCGGCTAAGTCTAAGATATGGCTGCCACTACGGGTTCCGGTTGCAGTTATTGTTTTTCTTTTAGTAATCTAGGGTTTAGGGTTTTGGCTAGGGTTTAAGGTTTAGAGTTGACGGTTTAGGATTAGACTGGCGATATTTGGGGTTCAGACCCATTGTTCTGTTTCAAGTCGTATTTGTGACTTATTTTAAATCGTTCATATCATTGTTCATCAGGTATGTGCCGGCCACGGATGCAGCTGACGGTGTGCAGCTCAAGTGGAACGAGGGTGATAAAACGATTATCCAAGTTGACATGGCTGGCTTGGTCCCGGCGAACACGGGCTTCGAATGCATGACGCTCTACAGGTACCTGTTGCTGCTGGAAAAGCAGAAGAAGGTGACTCGCTACGAGCTCAGCTACACGAAGTGCACCCGAGCACCCTCCTCTGATGGTGATCTTGCTGACAGCTTCCAGGTGGAGATCGCCGAGCCATTCAAGTACAAGACGATGCCAGACGTCGACAGGACCTTGAGCTGCAAGTCCTTTTTCCATGATCTCATCAGTGCGGTGGACAAGTCCGATGCCGCCCAGGCGGTGTTCCGATGGAGATTCGAAAGGGTCCACGCCTTGACAAAGATCCAGAAGCCATACGTGGCTTTGAGCGCCGCAATCAAGCTGAATCCGGGGCAGCCGGTGAGGCTATCCAAAGCTGACTGAAACGCCCAGCTCGGTTTTCTGCTGCAAACGAGATCCATGTACAGGCCTGGCGGGTGGCCCATCTTCGGCTTTCAAACCTTTTAAGTTGTTTTCCGTGCTGGAAAGGGTCGCCTCGCTCCGTCGCCACGCATAGACCTTGAAACCTAGTAACGGTTAAGGTTTAAATAGGGTTTAAATTTAGGGTTTAGGGTTTCAGCACTGACGCTCGATAGAGTTTAGGGTTTAGGGACTAGACTTCTAGGCATTGGCCATCGTGATGCTGCTAGATTGAATCTGAAATGTTCAGGGCAGCGTGTGCAGGAGCATCCGAGGCACGAGTTACGTTGCTGCACCTTCAACCGTGCGAGTTCTCCGGACCAAAACTATCGCATCACCCAGACTGAAGCATCAGTTGGCAGCATGGGCAGTTAGCTTGGAATCGCATTGCTTGCAGCAGTCTGATTACTTCATGACATCGTCCGCGGAGCCATCTTATCTTAACATGTGTGAGCGGGTTCAAAGTGCACCAGCATGGCTGATTCTCGCAGCGAGCTTCGGCGGATGATGTTTCAAAACCTGGAGCAGGAGATGCTGCAAGGCACTACCAGTTTCAATGCAGGTGCAGCCACCGTCACCGGCACTCCTCCGGTGGCCTGCCCCTCCAGCTCAGGATCTGAGTTGGCTCGCACATCGGCTGCTGGCCCCGGCACTAGTATGCAGGTTTGTATCCGGGCTACCGTTGACGTAACTTCCGCGACTCAGAGGGTGGCCTTCATTGCCGAGACAGCCGTGCAAAGCATCGGCCACTCAACACAACCACAGTCGTAGCAATTATCTTGCACTTGATGGGAGTTTAATGTATTTCAGGATTCAGCTGTTTAGGGTTAGGGTTTAGGGTGTTTGTTTAAATTAGTCGTAGTTTCTAGCTAACTATTGGAGAATCGGTAGCACCTCTGGGCCTCTTTTCAAGCAATGCCGTTTGTAGAATGCAGCATTCCAAAAATATGGTTGCTAAGTATTGCTACACTATAATTCCGAGGTAAGGTTTGGTTTTGGGGGTTCAGTGTACAATTTATCATTTCTTTCTACCTTTTCGTGACACTTTGGAGGAGTGGGTTTAGGAGCTTGGGGCCTGTCTTCAGGCGATCTTGGTTGGTAGACCGTAGTAACCGTAGAGCAAAATACAACTGAACCCACAAAACAGGACATGTGATGGTAGACATCATCAACGCGCAGCGTGCCTACTAGGACCTTTGGGCCCTTGTTTCCAAGGACAGGACACAACCACAAAGATTCGGCTTAGGCATTACGCTCTCTTGATATAGCATATTTAGTCAGGTATACACATAATTGAATTGTCGTAATCATCTTATGTTATGTGTGCACACACGCACACGCACACACACATATATATATATATATAGACATACTATACTCATACACATGTACACGTGTACATTCTGTAGCACATTTATTATGCATGTTATCCCATTGGTCCAAGTTTACTTCTATTTCCTCTCCTCTCCCTGTCTCTCCCTCTCTCTGTCTCTTCCCGGTGTCCCTTCCAATATCTCTTTCTCCTTATCCCTTGCTCTTGTTAGTTCTGACTGTTCATCGCTCGGCTCAACCACTGTTTCTCAGACTGACGACAAACCTTCAGTTATCTAGTACTAGAAGCAATGATCTGAAACATAGATGAAAATTGAAGCAATTGCCGAGGACATGGTCCTCGAAGCGAACCTGTGGCTTTGCCGAGCACAACTCAAGGCAGGGCAGGTGGGTGTCGTTTGCATTCGATTAGTTTAGAGCGGCTGCGGCGATGAAAGGCATCGTGCCATCATCATTTGCGCAGCCGAAGACTCCGATGAAGCCCCCGGCCATGTCCTTGGCTACCATCAAAAGCAGAGGCCTGCTGCAGCTGGAGTGTTCCCGATTCGTGTGCACTTAGGCCTTGATGAATGCACCAGGTGCTTCTGAGGCACGGGTCCTTAGTGTGCAACACAAGGTCGCAAACTGCATCCGATTCTTTGCAGGCTTCCGAGAATCCGAACAACGACGACTTCAAGAAGGCCTGAAAGATCGTAAAAGCTGCTGCTGCTGCTGCTGCTGCTGCTGCTGCTGCTGCTGCTGCTGCTGCTGCTGCTAGTTGCTTCAAGCCAATTGAGGCAATTGGCTTGAAGCTTGATTTGACTTTGACATGACTGGCTTAAATGCTGTGGCCCGGAAGGAAAGCAGCGAAGCAGTCCGTGCAGCGGGTGCTCCGGACAAAGCTGCCTGGCTTGGGGTTAGTCGTGCAAACGGACAGTGAGCGAAGTGGCCAATTTAGCATTAGTAGGCTTGAATCCCAGAAGCTCTTTCAGGAGATTCCTGCTGATGCTGCGCCCGACAACCGCAAGCCGGATAATTCCGGGTCCGAAGATCCCTCGAGCGCTGTGCCTGAGACTCCTGCCGCTGTGCCGGGTTTGCGCCGCACAGGTCCCTCCAGCATGCTGTTCGAATCGGAGCCAGAGTGTGAGAAGTTGGACGAGACTCCGATGAAGAAGCCGGCGGCAGCGAAGGCCAAGGCCAAATCGCAGGCGAAAGCAAAGGCATCTACAAGCACCTCTGTTTCCAAGACCGGGCCGAAGCAGATGAAGCGGCCAGCCGCTGCTGTGCCACTTCCCGCAAAGAAGCCTGCCGTCGCCGACAAGGTGGCGTCCAAGGAGGACCCGGAGGAGGAGAAGCCTACGGATGATGAGGCGCTTCCAACCTGGAAGGTGCCGGATGTTCATTTCAGACCATAAATAACCCGATCCCGAATGGGTCTGAATAAATAGGATTTGGAGCGTAGGTTTCGGGTTTTTTTTGGAGTTACAGTATTGTCACCAAGCCCGAAACTGTAATGAAGAGTTTATTTACCAGGTCCGGGTGTTCAAGAGAAGCAACAATGACAAGAAGGCCGGCACTACATTCAAAAAATACTACAGCCCCGATGGCACGATGTACCTTACCAGAAAGGCTGCCGAGCAGGATGGGTTTGATGAGGAGACCGCAGAGATATCCTATGACTTTGACAACGACGAGTGAGACTGTTCGTTCAGTATCGAATCGTCAAAGGGAGGTCGCAAGCACTCCCACTCAAGTTTTGAGTTCAACCTGAGACTGTCTCAGTCTCTCCAGGCACTCGGGCCAGTAGGACCAAATTCAAGCAACGTGGCTTTGGGATTCTGCTGGGCATGTGGATAGTCGTCATTTATAACTGGGTTTAGGCCTTAGGGTGCACCCTATTGAAAACAAACCCTGGATTGGAGCAGTTGGTTGGACAGTAGCTTTAAGCCTGCTCTATGGTCAGTCAGACTTAAAAACTTAGCTTCAATGAGGGTTCGATTGAAAATTTAGGTAACTTGGAAGGCTTAATAATTATGGGAGCATATGAAAACAGCTGTCACTGTAAAGGTTCACTGTGGAGTTCGCTTCGGTTGTACTGTTGGAAATATTTTTCAGGTTTAGGGTTACCCTAAGCCCCTAAACCCAAAGCCCAAATCCAAGCCTGGTCATAAGCTCTGAGCCTTTGACTAAGGTCACTCAGCTGATAACACCTGCCCCGAAAACCCAAGTCGAAATCGAAGCCTGTGCTACGAAATCCCGAGCTTCACTCCTTCACCAAGAGCAGCCGGACAGACGGCATTACTGCCAGCAGAGGACCGTCGAAACATTCGGAGTGCCCGAAGGCCTTCTGACGTGGCATTATTTCGGAACATTTGGATTCATTTATATTGAGCCAGTTCCTGTAAGCTCGCTAGCAGGTCCCATTTCTTTTTCAATAATTTGATGCGAGAAGATTGGAACATTTATATTGAGCCAGGTCCTAAGCTCGCTAGCAGGCCCCATTTCGTCTTTAAGCCCTGAGCCATAACTGCGCACCCTAAACCCGCAGAGCCCTGACCCTAAGCTGTTCAAACCCGTGCCCGCACCCTAAATGGCTCGATGGCTCAAGGCCCCAAGGCCCTAGGCCATTGAAAGGCAGAAAAACCCCTAACCCTGGCCCTAGACCTTAAACCCTGTGCCCGAACCCTAAATGATGGCTCAATGGCTCAAGGCCCGAGGCCATGAACGCGAAGGCTCAATGAAGAGCCGCAGTCCGTCTGTGAATCCGGCCTTCGGCCCGCCTGCTAAACGAACCCCCAAAACTCAAAACACCAAGACTCCTGAAAACACCAAGTTACACGATAGTGCATTTCATAGCTTATGCTGATGTTTTTTTTAGGTCCGGTTGACACGTCT